TACTATCGAGATAGTGCCGTATTAATAACCGGTTAGTCCGTGATATATCGGCTATTATTAACCCGATAAGCTAAGTACATCTTATCGTCCCTTGCTTAGTATATCCGTGACAACTACTAATAATAGTATAGTATGGGTTTTATCGTTTTTCGTGGGAAAGAGTTATAGAGTTCAGCGATTAGCACTATAATCTCTTAGTATAGATATATAGAGATCGCACTGCTCGATACTCTAGGAGGAGCGCGTACCCAGTACTCACTAGTGATATGCTAAGGCGTTAAATAGACACACACACACACACACACACAAGGAGCGATACGATTTAATAGCTTATTAGTCTCCTTTTAGGCGTTCTTTATTATAGTATACGCCTTATAGTCATATACTCGAAGATATAATAAAATTAGCTTTATGTTAAAAAGGACTTTATATAGCGTTTTCTAATCCTTTTACTGCCTTTGTGGCGTGCGGTTATAGACGTATACGGCCGTGAGAATAGCCTTAGGCTATATAAGTAGCGGTAGCTTAGCGTGGATATTTACCGCACGACCTTATAAAATCACTATAATAGCGGCGCGTTCGGTACCCTTATTCTGCGCTTAAGTGTCGGTAGCAGATACCTCTAATAGGATATCCTCCTTGTATAGGAAAAGGGTGATATTGTTAGATTAAGTTAGCGTATTATTACTTTCGAAAACGCGTACCTTATAGTCTGATTAACGGTCTACCTAGGCGAGGAATTCTTTAATTATTATAAGGATATCCGCTATAAGTTTGCTCTTTATAATATAAGTGGCCGTAAAGCTATTATAATAGTCGGTGAAAAATATAAACCGCGAAACCCCGTCGGACGTTTATTTAAAATCCGTGAAATTAATCGCCTACTATTCCCCTACATAGGCAGGTACAGTGCGAGGGCGCCTACTAATATACCGTTTTATTTTTATAAGCTTATAGACCTTATAGTCGATAGTTATTAGTCCCTTAATCTTAACTTCCTGCGTGTACCCTTCTAGGTGCCTAAGAGGCTTAGGGCTAGTATACCCTAATCGTAGATACTATAAGATACCCTCCGTAGTACGTAGATAACGTATTATCGATTTATAGACGTCTTTTCAGGTGGAAGAAAAGCCTAGAAAAGTAGCCGTAGATTAGTTAGAATCGTAGGGCATATACTTAATAATAGTCTAATCGAAGTGATAACTTAGCTAGAATAGTATAGATCTATTAGTATATTAAATGCTGTTATTTAGTGGCTTCTAATCCTCCTAGTATCCTCGCCGTCGTAGGCGTTAGTTAGACATTAAATTATAAGCAAAGTCCTCGCAGTATACGACGTTTAAGAGTCTAAAATCGTGGCCTCCTATTAGTCCGTTTAATCTCCCGGTCACGTTACCGTAACCTTTAATAGGCAGGGACGAACTACCGGCTATTATATAATCCCCCTACGTGGCGGGTATAAAATCAGAAAAACGCGAAAAATCGTTAAAGATATAAATAGTGGCGCCGGAATCTAGGATAGCAGAGGCTCGAAGAGGGTAGCTAGTAATAGTGCTAGCCGTAAAGGTGGCGGCGTAAAAGACGCCGCTACGGACGCTGCTATAGTCGAGTAACGCCTCTTTAAGCTATACAGAATCCCGGCCTACATCCTTCTTCACCTTTTTTACAGCGCATAGTTCTTCCACTTCTGCGTGTATCGCAGGGTTATATTTAAGGATCCGTTAGACGGTTATTTTAGTGCTATCGTACGTAATCTAACCGTTAAACGCTATTTCCGGAAATAGGTAATAGTAGACGTCTATATTATAACTAGGTATAGTATATACGCGATAAGGCTCCCTTATCGGAGGGCAGATTAACGATATTTAGAAAAAGAATAGTTAGTTAAAGTAATGGAAGGTATAGCTATTAATATAGCGGAAGATACTACGGTAGCGGCTTTCTTAGCTTTATTCTTCCTATAACCACCCTTTTTCCTGGGCTTAGTCGTGGCCTCTAAGGTATCTTTACCCTTATCGCTTTTAGTGTATAGTGCAGGGAATACTATAATGCGATAGTTGCCGCGCTTTCCTTAGTCTTTAAGTCTAATCTCGATATATCGTTAGCTAAGGGTATAAAGATCTTCGTGTTAGACTACTTTCTTATCTAAGAGGCGTCCCTCGACTTTAGTCTAATCACGGCTAGCTATACCACGTATACCTCTAAAGAAGTCTACTACCTAAATATACGTTACGGGAGTTAATTTAACCTCTTCAAGGTGCTTTAATAGTTCCTGCTATCTTAGTAACCACTTCTATAGCTTCTTAAGGCTATTCGGAGTAGTTCGAATATAGTCGTTATATTCCTTATAGATATCCACGCGGCGTATAGTTATATAGTAAATGGTATCGCGTTAAATAGCTTTATACACCCTTTAAGGGGTGGCGTTATATAGGAGTAGCTTACGGCTTTTATCGATAGTATCAGTCTACCACGATAATACGGCGTTAATATAGGTCTTAGACCAAGGGCGGCTAGACCCCGATAGGTTCACACTTAGGACCTATTATAACTACTGCTGCAGGCACCTAATATCTAGCTAGGTAGACTTAATCTAGATATTATTAAGCAGGAGGGGCATATATATAAGATATCTAGCTATATAGATAGCCTCTTTAACGAGTTTATTTTATCTAAGAAGCCCAGATCTACTCCACAATACCTATAGATCGATAACTATAAAGACGCTATAGAGTTTTGTACGGGGAAGAAGTATTAAGGTTATAGGCAGGAAGGCAGATTTAGTGGCATGTCTTAAAGTATAGGATAAGGAAGAGCGTTGTGTGATAGAGGTAGATTGATAGGATAACGAAAAGGCGATTAAATACGAAGAAGAGTTATAGATAGTGTATATATTAGCTTAAAGAGCCCTTAGCTACTTAGTAAAACACGGTACCCTCTCTTTACTATCACGATACGTTAAGGCGTTTATCCTATAACTTCCACCGCTTCCTATATATCTAGAGGCGGTACTAAACCTCCTTTGTAGCTAGTAGGAAGCCCTTAGTTAAGTGCCTATAACGCTCTCGAATCTACCTATAGTGTATATTATTATCGGTATCGGTTAAGGATATCCCGGGTATAACGCTAGGCGTTAAAGACTCTCGGTATCGTAGCTTATAGTCGATGTTAGTATCGAAAAGGGCGTTATCGATAAAGTCGTGAGTTATATCTAGTACTAGATTATTAGCGAGGTATTAAAAAAAGTATTTCTAGTGCTTAATAAGGGGGGGGATATATAGACGATATTAAGGAACCCGTTAGTACCTATTTTAGTTATTGTTTGGTTATTAAGGGCATATAAATTAAGAGTGTGGATAACTAAGGGTTATCGCGATACGATAAAATAACGTCAATTTAGGCTACGGGGGGAAGTGGAGATATCGCTGAAAAAACGTTATTAGCTCAGATTCCAAAGTGGTGGGTTTGTTTATACGGTACTATAGCGCTTCGTCACAAGCATCTATACTACACTGAAGCTGGCCCACTTTATTGTTCGGCACTTCTTGGCAGCCTGGCGTTCGTAGCAGTACTACCGCCCGGGCCCGTTTTTCGTCTTTTTACGGTGTTTTTCGGGCGACATGCCTCCACAGTATATAGTTGTACAATAGCAAATCTGTCAGTACTTTCCTTTTATATGGGTTTTACAGCAGATTTCGTTGTAATCAATTGAGGGATCTTAGTGCGAATTCCCTGTGAATCTGACTTTAGACTGTGCTGCTATGTGCTATGTCCCCTGATAGGATAAAAAATAGGACAAAAAATAGGACAAAAAATAGGAAAACAAAATTAGGAAAAGAAATAGGATATAAATTAGGGTAAGGAGTTAGGGTAAAAATTAGGATATATATTAGGGTAAAAAGTAGGATAAAAAATAGGATAAAGAATTTGTGTAAAAAATAGGATAAAAATTAGGATAAAAATAGGATAAAAATAAAATAGAATCTAGGATAAAATAGAGGATAAGAAATAGAATAAAATCATAGGATAAAGTATAGGATATAAAGTAAGATAGAAATAAGATATAAAATAGAAGAAGAAATATAATAAAACCTTAGATAGGAAATAGGATAAAAAGAGAATACAAAATAAGATCTATAATATAATAAGATAAACTAAAAATAGAATGAAACATACACTAAAAAACTATAGGAATAAAATTAATAAAAAGTAGAATAAGAGTAATAGATAATATAAAGTTGAATAAAGCTATAAGTAACGGATAAGATAAAAATAAATAAATAAAAGATAATAGATAAGATATATTATATTATATTAACAGAATTCATAAGAAATAGCTTAATATATATTTAGTACTATAAAGTAAGCAGAATATAGTATATAGTAGTATATTTATGTATATAATATCGTTATATAATCGGGTTATATATATAGCCCCTTATAGAGGCGAGCGTAATAGCCTTATCTATAAGGTAAGCTATTAGTTAGTATTAACGCGTTTATAGGAAGTATATCGATTATTTATACCTATTACTTACTTAACGACGATACTATTTACGGCTAGGAGATAGTAGGAGAGGAATATAGGGGGATAAAAGAAGCTAATACTAGCGACTATAAAAAGAAATAGACCCTTAAGTACGAGATATAAAGCGCGATTAATATAATAAAAAATAGCTTTTTACCATACTAAAGAAATAAAAACAAATCGTTATAGCGTAGAAGAAACTAATAAATAGCTATAGAAACTAAAAAAACAGGCGTTTTATAGTTATTTTCGGATATCCACGGTTATTTATTAGTATATAGTAGGTTATATAATTAGGCCGGCCCCCCCCCTTTAGGGGGGGGCGAGCTTGGCGGCGTTGCCCGTAGGGCAACCTGCTAAGCTCGTGCCATCTCACTCACCATATTGACCTGACACGTACGTGCAGCTTAATGAATTTATAACAGTGGTGGCGGTCTAACATCTCTATCTAAATTTATCGAGCTCATTCTAACGGTTACTACCCTTGGCAAAACTCTGGCACACCGGGAAACCCGCAAGCCGTCATGTTCCCGTTCGATCAAGTCGCCCTTCCAAGTATCCCTGTTCGAAAGGCGCTGTTGGTGATCGACTTTCAGAACGACTTCCTCGACCCTCAAGGACCTCTACCAGTCATCGAACCTCGGGCATTCGTTGATCGAACTCTTGAATTGGCAAAAGAGTTTCGGAGAAAGGACTACGTTGTTTGGGTTTGCACCGAATTCAAGAAAAAGCGCGTGTTAGGCAGCGAGCAGATTATCATATCTGAGGAGGACAGCTGGAAGTCGGGCTCATGTGACAGGGACCTGTGTTCTGAGGATGCGGTGAGACCCCCGTCTCTCCGGCCGAATGCACCCGAATCGGACCCTGAGGCGTTCCTCAGTCAAAGCGGGACTGGGACAGGCTGCGCGCGGTCCGCCTCAGGATCACAGGTTCCCAGTAATACCAGACGCTCCTTCGGCCCGCGCGACATCTCTTTCGTCAAATCTCACTATTCCGCATTCAAGTCAGGCGAACTGCTGCAGCTACTGAGAGGAAAGCTAGTCACCCAGCTATTCATATGTGGCTCGCTCGCTAACATTGGCGTCTATGCTACTACCATCGATGCCGCAATGTATGGCTATGACATAACTATTGTGGAGGATTGTTGCGGCCACCGCTCCCACCATAGACTTACCAATGCCATTGAATCTGCCGTGGACTTGACGGGCTGCAAAGTCTTGAAGGCTGATGTTGTCATCGAGCGACTCCAGTCCAAGCCGCTTTCAGGTTCAGGTTCAGTCTCAGGCTCAATACCCTCCGCTGCTACGGACACTTCTCACAAACAGCAGTCTGGCCTTGGTACAAAATCATCAGCTTATCCGTCAAGAATAATGGCCCCAGACTCTTCCAGATTGGACCTACACGAGAGACTAGCTGCGCTTGACATAAGCTCATCAAAGATCATTCGAGAGGACGAGATAGGGCAACCGCTCGAAGTTGACCCTGATGCCCAGCCCTTAAGCCCAGCTGCCCAAGAGGCTTTGAAGGAAGGATCGCGGGAAGACGCAAAAGGCAAAATCTCCTTCTCAGACACATCATGTCCTGAAATGAAAGGCGTTCTTGAACCAACAGATAGGCCAGAGAGAAGTGATGCGCCCCGATCCGAGAAAACACTGGCAGCAGCTGGTGTTCGTGCTGCAACCGAAGCCTCGGCCAGTTCATCATTGTCAACTGCTACGACCGCCAATGAGCCGAGGCCATCAAGCCCCGGCGAAAGTCAGGACGGCGGTCGAGGCCCCATCTGCGAAGGCGACACGACCATCATACACGATGTATTGCCGCCGCCCCTGGCTGATGGCATATTCGAGAAACTGAAGGAGGAAATACAGTGGCGACGGATGTCGCACCAAGGGGGAGAAGTCCCTCGGCTTGTCGCTGTTCAAGGCGAGGTTGCTGCAGACGGCAGCATGCCAGTCTATCGGCATCCAGCCGATGAAAGCCCCCCGCTTCTTCCGTTCTCACCGACAGTCCTGGCAATCAAAGCCGAGATTGAGAGGCATCTGGGACACCCGTTGAATCATGCCTTGATTCAACTGTATCGAGATGGAAAGGACTACATCTCTGAGCACAGTGATAAGACATTGGATATTGTGAAGGGATCTTTCATCGCCAATGTCAGCTTTGGGGCCGAACGAACCATGGTGTTCAGGACTAAGCGACTAGATAAGGACCAGTCGTCTCCGTCGCCGTCCCCGTCGGGAGATGCCAAACGCAGGATACAACGTGTTCAGCTGCCTCACAACTCACTCTGCCGTATGGGCCTGACGACTAACATGCGCTGGCTCCATGCTATCAAGCAGGACAAGCGAGCGGAGAGAGAAAAGTCGCCGGCTGAACTAGCCTTCTCGGGGGAGCGGATATCTCTCACCTTCAGGAGAATAGGTACCTTCCTCGATCGTGATGGAACACTCATCTGGGGCCAAGGGGCTACGGGAAAGACAAGGGACGCGGGTCGAGTGGTGGTGAGCGGACAGAGCTCGGAAGCCGTGTCAATGATTCGAGCATTTGGAGCCGAAAACCACGCAACCTCTTTTGACTGGGAAGAACATTACGGCAAGGGCTTCGATGTTCTACACATCACCCAGTCGCCTCGTCTCTTTTATTCGGGTGACGATGTCATCAACATGCGCGTCCAACTGATGCTTGCCAAATATGGAATTACTTTCGCCAAGGGCAGGATGCCGTCGTCCGCTGACCTGACGGACGGGGATACCCCGGACGCGAAGGAGGCTTCACCCCCTCTCAAAAGGCGACCTATGAGATTCGAGGACAACGACGCTGCGAGATCAACCATTGAAGGTGATGTGGCCATAATGCTATATGTTGATGCTGTATATGGGTGTGGAAAGGGAGACGCCATTGCTCGCTCGCCCCCAGAGATAGCACGAGTTTTCACCCGGTTCCAGCAGGGAATCGACTTGCTCGATAAGTGGCGCACTTTTGGGACTACAGGATGTGACGAGAGAACCCAAGCGAGTCGGAAGATGAAGCAGGAACTGGCGGTCTGGGATGGGTATGCCTCGGAGGGCAAATTTGTTGCTGGTTCGAGAGCATCGTTGGCCGACTTTGCAGTCTGGCCTGTTTTGCATACGATTGTCCAGAAATTGGGCTTGAGCGTATTGGATACAGACGGGACGAGAGCACTCAAAGCCTACTATGAGGCCTTCCTAGGCCATGAAAGCGTTTCAAATGTGCTGGCGGGTATCTAGTCGGCGATCGAAAGGCACCGTCCTCATGAAATATAAACCCCATAAGATAATGAAGAAGAATTGGGTTCGTGGCACATGTGTGAACTTGCAGGATAATATGGACGGACAACCAGGCATGGAGCTGTGGAATTGGTGGGTGAGCAACTTGTCCGGCACGGGGAAATGACCATACGCGTCATCATAATAATGGTTTTCAAGTGTCAGCGCAAGCACGAACAATCAGGCAAGGGCTCATCAGTAACGATGGGCCCTACTGACTGACACGAGAGTTGTAAGCTACAAAAATCCCGGAACGATCTGAAATTCTTTCATGACACTAGGATACGGAACCAGATGACCAAAGAACCACTCCAAAACGCCCAATACCTAAGCTACTTGCTGATTTCCACATCTCATAGCGACATTGCCTCGGTCCCTCTGAGGTTACTATTGATGGCCGTCTTCTTCTTCTTAGCGCTCGGAGACCCAGGGCAAAGGATAAGTGCCAACCCAGTCAGAAACCTCCGACCGCAATTGGACAATCTCAGGGTCCGCATCACCGTTGCCCAGGTGTGCCATAAAGATACGGAGCAGCCCGGGCTTCTTTTCGCCACGCTCGGCCGCCGCTTGCCTGGCTGCCTTATCGATTCGGACCGCAATAGTCACGGCACGGTCGATTATGTCGGCTACGCGAGCAAAGTCCTCTTCGCCGAAACCTCGGGTCGTCATCGCAGGTGTGCCGATACGAAGGCCTCCGGGCACCAGAGCAGAGCGATCGCCAGGAACGGTGTTCTTGTTGGCGGCCACGCCGACAAGTTCGAGAACACGTTCAACGCGACTCCCGTCAATCCCTTGGGGCTTGAGATCCACGAGCACCAGGTGGTTCTCGGTTTCACCACCCACCAGCTTATAGCCCAGGCCCCCTTGCTCCTTCGGCTCGCCAAGGCGACGAGCGAGTGCTTTCGCGTTGGAAAGTACTTGCGCCTGGTAGGCTTGAAATTCAGGGGTCTGTGCCTGCTTGAGAGCGACAGCCAATGCCGTGATGGTGTGGTTGTGGGGGCCGCCCTGGTGACCGGGGAAGACGGAAGCATTAATCGGACCTTCGAGATTGTACAGCTCGTCCTCCTTCGTCTTAGAGTTCTGGCGACGAACGCCCTTCCGGTAGAAGATCAAAGCCCCGCGAGGTCCCCGTAAGCTCTTATGACTGGTAGTGGTGACCACGTCGGAATAACCAAACGGACCGGGCAAGACCTTGGCGGCGACCAGACCTGAAATATGTGCCATATCGGCAAGAAGATATGCGTTGACCTTGTCGCAGATTTCTCGCATGCGCTTGTAGTCGATGAGCTTTGAATATGCACTAGCGCCGGCTACGATGATTTTGGGTCTGTAGATAGCGGCCAGCTCCTCGAGTTTGGCATAGTCGATTTCACCCGTCGCCTCGTCCAACCTGTAAGGTACGGTCTCGAAGTACTTCGACACGGCGGAGATCTTCTTGCTTGGGGTTTGGTAACCGTGTGAGAGATGGCCGCCATGCGGCAAGTCAAGACCCATCAGTCGATCGTGAGTATCCATCAGGGCAGAGTAAACGTAAAGATTTGCGGGGGCACCCGAAAGCGCTGCGAAGATGTCAGTGTGAGGGTCTTAAAAAAAAAACCCCAAGATAAACGAATGAATGAGAGAGAAAATGCGAACCTTGGACGTTGACTCCCCACTGCGAAGCATCCAGGCCGAAGGCCTCCAAAGCCCGCTGCTGACATAGCCGCTCCGCCTGATCTATGAACTCGTTTCCGCCGTAGTATCGCGCACCCGGGTACCCTTCCGAATATTTGTCTATGCCATGCCACGTTAGTAATGGGCTTACTCGGTCGCTCGGAGAATAGGAAGGTCTACTTTGCATCACACTACCCAAGGCATCGAGGACTGCCTGAGAGGTGAAGTTCTCGGAAGGAATGAGGTTGATAAAGTGCTTCTGCCTATTTTTTTCCTACGGGCGAGGTGTCAGTCCTGGAAGAAGAATAGCCAACCGAGCCCAAGATGTTTCCCGCACCATCCACTGTCGGAGCGGGAACATACCTTCTCTATGATGTCGTACACAGCCGGGTCCGCTTGTTGGAGATGTCCAGAGAGAAGCTGGGCATGGCCATGGTCAGCGAGAGTTAGACAAAGCAGAAAGCACCCGAGCAAGCCCAGACAGAATCTGATTTGAATTGGCGCAGTTCGAGACACCACGTACCTGCTGCTGGCCTTCCAGGCTCATTGACGAGACCAGTCGTCTGCCATTGCATGTCGGCAACGGCCGACGGATGCTCGTCGCCGCTAATGTTGTTGCCCTCGCATACCGCGGAAGCAGTCGCAAAGCACACCGAGACGTTGACATAGACATTACGGGCAAGGGAAGATTGCCAGACGCCCCAATGTCTCCAATCCGGTAAGATACAGCGGATCTATGAAGTGGTTGTAGAGCGAAGGTTCACTCACCGTTTGCCGAGGTGGTCCGATCGGAGGTTACATAAGAGATACGGGTGTACATACCTCTGGTAGCCGTTAGAAGTGGCGACCCCAGAACCCCCCGCCGTACTTCGTACTTCGTACTCCGCTCCCAAGGTACCTGTTCTTAGGTGCGGAGTAATTAGGTGGGTACCGCTGGGGTTCGTAACATCGTCCGCGTTCGGTCAGATAATTATTAACATTCACACCTAAGGTACCTTTGTCGAACAGACCACAGTCTTTTCGGTTACGTAATAGGCCGGATTACTAAGAGTATAATCCGGGTGGACGCTTACAGAATCTGCACTATATAAAATACGGTGGCAGCGTTTCCCTAACGGTCGGAGAGAATTATAATTATATATAATTATCTTAATTAATTTTGACCTATCTTATAACGATTTTAACTACGCTTTATCTGATAATTAAGAGTCTTACTTACTAAGTGAAGATATACCTATTTTACCTACTCTATTACCTTTACTGTTACCGATTTAAGAAGCTATTTAGCCGCGCCGATATAGTGTGTTAATCTATAAATAACTATTAAGATATCGTATCTTAGCCCTATTACGTATAAGACCTATAAGGATTAGGAGCTCTGGCGACGCCTGTATAAATGGGTTACCACCTATAATAACGTATAGCGGTTTCTCTGCCTAATCGATCTGACTTAAACCCCCGAGAAGCCTATAATACCAAATTACGACTTTTTCCCCTCTATAACGCTTAGGCATACCCCTATATAATATCTCGACCTTACGGACGCCGGCTAGAAGGCGTACGATATCGAAATCACGCGCTAGAAGATCCTATAAGCGTAATACGATAGCTACCTAAAAGGGATTAACGCTATACTAACCTAGCAGGTTAATACTATCGACTAAAGCCGTAAATAACTATTACGAGGAGGTATACCTTACGAGGTATACGAAGCCGTTAAATGCGATACGGATTAGTACCTAGCCACCCGCTAAACCGATACCCACGAAGAGTATATCGAGTATACTTATTACCCTGCGAATAGCCTTAAGAAGCTCGGGGAGTAGTTAGATAAGTAGTAGCTACTACTATAAAGCTATAAAGATACCGGTTCGAAGCCCGCTATATATATATAGGTAGCAGATTTCTTTAGAGGTATACGCCCTTATACCGGCCGCGATTAGACTAAGACCGAAGGACGCTTTATAGATAACTAAGTAGTTATACCCGAAGACCTTTATACCCTCGGTTAGAAATATATTAACAATAGACTTAAAGACTAAGGAAAACGCGGTAACCACCGCGCTATAGTATTCCCTGCACTATATACCTGAAGCGAGGAGGGTGATAATACCTTAGGTACCACGGCTAAGCCTAAGAGGGGTGGCCGTGGAAAGAATAAAGCTAAGAATCCTACTACTACGGTATCTATAGCTATACCTTCTATTACTTTAACTAATTATCCTTCTTCTAAAGACGCTACTTAGCCTTTAAACGAGGGGTATACTACCGCGTATATACAACGCTAAGTTATAATATTAATAGCTGCTTTTATTTATTCCCGGATACGGTATATAATAACTAGACGCCCTTTAACAGCATTAAAATAACCGTTTAACGGATTCTTAAATACGACCCCGCGCTACGCGCGGAAGTAGAAGAACTACGCGCTTATGAATGACTGGTCACAGGTCGTGGCACTAAGTAAGGTCGTAATAATAGATTATCTAGAACTAAGGAAGGAAGAAGGAAAAAGGAGAAAAGTCTATAGCACTAGGCTAGCTATAAGGTAGCGATAACTTAGCGATATAGGTCCGTTAACCAAGCGCGTAATTAGGAAGATCCGGAGTATAGCCGGATCCTCTATATCGGGGTTAACCCGTAATACTATCCCCCCCCTCTCCCTCCGGGGGTTACGTAACCGCGCGTCACCGTCGTTGTTCGGCTCCCCCTTATATCGCGGTAATAAAGGAATAGTTATATCCTTTTAACTTACCTCGCCCTTACCTCGATATTAAAGAAATCTTAGGTAGCCTACTAACCTTTATGTATATACCCGAAATAGTAATATAGGCTACCCTCGCGTAGATACTATCCGTAGATATATTAGCCTCGTTTTCCTTATAGGCCCTTGTTTTCTCTATTCCCCTCCCTACCTTTAATAATAATAATTATAGTAATAGCGGTTATATACGTGCTCGTTCTTCCTTATAATAACGATTCCTCTAATATCCCCTATCCTTAGATAATAATAGTAATACTCGGTTAGTTTAAGAGCTCCCCGTCTAAGGTAAGCTATTTCTCGCTTATAAGCTTTTTATTAAGAACTCTTTACTAACTTATATTGTTTTTATAGATAGTATTAGCCCCCGGCGATAATAGAAGTAATAATAGTAGTAAGCGTGCCGCTAATAACGATATAGGTATAATACTCTTATATTTTAAGGCGATACTAACCGTATAATAGTTCGCGTTATCGTCCTCGCCGCCGCTTAAGAAGAAGAAATCGGCGGGTAATCGGCCTCCTAAGCACCCTCCTAGTAGTATTCGTGCTAAGCCGTGCCTCCTTTATACGCGCGACGTCGCTAATAGAAAGTATAAACGCCTTTATCGTAGCTAGATTAGTCGGGGGAAGAAATACTACGTATACTTTATAAAGATATACTGGTATACTCCTTTCCTAGCGTACCTTAAAGGCTACGCGTAGAGGTTATTCGAGACGGCTACCCTTATTAGCGGTAATAATAAGAACGCCCTTATAAGACTTCCTCTCCTTAAGGGGTTGTGATAGTATCGCTAACTCTTCTTTTAGGAGTAGGAACCGTATCTTAACACTTACGCGGCGTTTTAGGATACCCTTATAGCTAAGGAAGCGATAACGGCAATATTACCTATAGCTATATATCCCGCGGAGGCTCCCGGTATAGTAATTGCGCTAGCCCTTTCTCCTCCTTAAAAGGTCTAAGAAGCGGTAATACCGTAGTTAGCCTTACTGCCTATAATGGCTTGTCAAAAGTTGTTCACGTATTAAGGCCGAAAATATAGATTATTCGAACTAAGGGAGGAAAGGAGGGAAGGAAAAGTCTGCGCGGTGTGTAGGCGGCTAAGTACGTGTAGGATTGCACGGGCCTCGCTAGGAGGTCCGTGCTTCTTAGTCCCGGCCGCTGCCGGGGACTATTCCGCGGGCTATAGCCCGTAATATCCCCCCCCCCCCGCCGGAGGCGGCGATATCGTGGTTGTGTTATCGTGACCTCGTATTGCCCTGGCTCCCTAGCGTATAATCTGAAAATAGCCTCCTTTATTCGATTCCATTAAAGGCTCCTTCAAAGGGAGGCAATCCGCAGCAGCCGAGATCCTTTTAAGGCCAAAATAGCATAAAGGGGGTCTTATATAGCTATACTATCACGGGCTCCTCGCCGGCGTGCGTGCTCGTTATAAACGATATACCTGCCGAATATATAACCGGGGGTCATTCCTTCCACCTAAACAGCGTAGGAAGGGGAGTAAAATAAACCTCCTACTATTCCTCGTTTTTTACTATTTTCTTCCCTTTCCATAGCTTCCTTTTAACTAATTTCTTTTTTTTTAATTGGATTTTCCACACCGTGAGTAGCCCCGAGATACTGTATAGGTCCCGTGGTAGTATAACTAATATCGCCGAGTAATACCTCGTTACTTAGGCCGCCCGTATTCTCCTTATAGTGAGTTAGCACGCCCCTCGCTCTTAGTTCCGTGCCGTAACTAACCGTTAGTAAATATCCGACTACGCCTCACCTAGTAAACGCCCTTGTAAGGACAGCAGCGATACCGATATAAGTTTAGCCCTTATTGCTATTAGTTACGAGGTCGGCCGTTACTAACGCTAAGTAGACTCCGACCCCCCCC